CCTGGAAGATGGCGAGTACAGCCACCGGATCGACAGCGACAATCAGCGAGGCAAACAAAAAGAAGGAATTCAGACTGATATTTGAAAGACCGGGTCCCATCGCTCCGCCCTTACAGAGTCCATACATCAGGGGTCCAATGATGACGAAGTTGAGCACTGTTCCGATCACTGCGTAGATTAAGATGGAGGCAATATAGTCAAGAAAAGTTCGATTGTAGAGACCAAAAGCGGCGTCCAAGACGATGGGTGGAAGGAGAAAGTGAAAGAACATGGTTGGAGTCAACTTCCAGAGAGTCTCTTCGATGGCGACATCGGAGGCATAATAGAAGATGAGTCCAAAGATGACACCGATACAGATCAGCAGTAGTGATTGGGGAATATAATCTGGCACATAGGGTATCTTTGGGTAGAAGGTCTTGAAGAGGCACATCAGAATTATAATAGCGAAGGCACCAAAGAAGGTTCCAAATTCGGCAAAGTCCCATTCGGCGAGCTTAATGCCACCGGACTCGGGCTCGGTAGTGTTGTTTGCAACTCCTGACTGTGCGTTGACGCCGCCTGCAAGAAACAGGAGCAGGCAGACTACTGAAAGAGCAGTCAACCGCCTTTTCAGTATCGTTGGCATATTGATCTACTCGAATGCGCTACTGCGTCTGCTTTTATTCTCTAGCTGACATAAACATCAATCATTATCTCGTTAGGTGGCACGGGGTGCTCACATTGGTTGGCCCGCATGTCTGTTTATATACTTTTAACCAATAAGGGGCTCATGTTAAACCACGCCTTGGTCCTTATTCACCCACTACGTAACGAGGTGTGGAATTTTAACCACTGGAGAGGTTTTAGTCAAAAAGACTATGATGGCTACGATATTCAGAAAACATTTGTATGATGCTTTCGCCGACATTCATTTCGAGGAACCTCGTAAAGTCTGCTGAAGGGATCTGTAATGACCCAAATCTGCATGCAACACCCAACATCTCACCAATCTCGACTGTGTGCGCATACGCACCACTGTCCACCGACCGCAGTCCGGTCTGGCCAATCACCTTTAGGGCTGATTCACTCAGGACTCTACTGCGACGACTGCCACCTCTCACACTTTGAAAAGCGCCCTCTCGGCTGCCATTTCATGCTCGTCAAGGTGATCCAACCTCTTTTTCAGCACCTGTGTACAGAATGTACCACCTCTTCAACTTGGCCTCGTACTTTTTCTCTCCTCACAAGGATCCGGGCCTGAAGATGGCAGTAGCAATGGTCTTCCGTTAGAAACTTAGGCTGCTGTGATAGATCTATAGTTTACTGTTGGTCAGTGGAGCAACTCTTGTCTACAAGCAAGAAAACGAGGTCATTGTCGACCTTGACTTCCTTCAATGCATTAGGTCCCACATTGGAAAGCATATCCCGCAGCCTAAAACCCATTGGTATCAAATGTCATCGTTCCTGATGCCGACCACATGTAGCACCTTGAAACACTGTTTGACAGCTAAGTCCACTTGCCTCCTCAGACTTCTCTTTCATGAATCCCCTGGATACCTGGTGCACACCAACAGCATCAATCCTCTCCCTGCGAAGGTTGCCATCCCCCAATTTACACATCTATCTTCCAAGCGTCAACTTGTAGTGGTCACTACTGCCCGATGCCCTCCTAACTCCTAACGCCACAGACGTGGTCTCGTAGTGACAAACTTGGTCGACCAGTCGCGCTCG